CAGTTAGTGAGTGCATACATTTTAATACTGGCCCCCCGTGGGAATCGAACCCACAACCCTGGCATTGCAAACGCCATGCTCTACCAACTGAGCTACATCCCTGCTGGCCATTCCCTCCCCTACCCTGGACGACGCTGGGCCAATTGTGCGCCGCCCCATGGGTCTCCCGGTCGCGGCCGGCTACGACAGAGCCTGGATTCGAACCAGGATCTCTAGTGGCACAGCTAGTACTGCGATGCAGTGCCTTAGACCACTGCGCCACTCGGGAGTTACACTGTTAATTATTTATGCATAGTCACTTTAACTATACCCACATGTACATTTTACCTCAACTACCTCAACTAGCCGGTGCCCCCGCACATTGACTCTGCACCGGTACCCCCCTGTATATAGCCTACCTACTGTTATTTATTTTACTTCTGCGCTTTTTTTCTCAACACTTTTTTGTTGTTGTTTGATTTTGCATTTTTTTTTTTTTTCATAAAAAAGTATTGTTGGTTAAGGGCTGTAAGTAAGCATTTCACAATAATGTCTACACCTGTTGTATTCGGCACATGTGGCAAATAACATTTAATTTGATTTGATTTGATTTGATGCCGCCAGTCAAGACGCTCTCAATGGTGCAGCTGTAGCACTTTTTGAGGTTCTGAGGGCCCATGCCAAATCTTTTCAGCCTCCTGAGGGGGAAGAGGCGTTGTCGTGCCCTCTTCACAACTGTGTTGGTGTGTTTGGACCATGATAGGTCCTTAGTGATGTTCACACCGAGGAACTTGAAGCTCTTGACCCACTCCACTACAGCCCTGACGATGTGAATGGCTGGCGTGCTCATCCCTCCGTTTCCTGTAGTCCACGATCAGCTCCGTTGTCTTGTTGACGTTGAGGGAGAGGTTGTTGTCCTGGCACCACACTGCCAGGTCTCTGACTTCCTCCCTGCAGGCTGTCTCATCGTCGTTGGTGATCAGGTCTACCACCATCGTGAAGGTGTTGGAGTTGTGCGCAGCCACGCAGTCGTGGGTGAATAGGGGTACAGGAAGGGACTAAGCACGCACCCCTGAGGGTCCCCCGTGTTGAGGGTCAGCGTAGCGGATGTGTTGTTGCCTACCCTCACCACCTGGGGGTGGCAGGTAGCCTAGCGGTTAAGAGTGCTGGGCCAGTAACTGAAAGGTCCCTAGTTCGAATCCCAGATTCAGCAAGGTGGAAAAATCTGCCGTTTTCTCCTACTGCTCCCTGGGCGCCGATGACATGGATGTCGATAAGGCAGCCCCCCGCACCTCTCTGATTCAGAGGGGTTGGGTTAAATGCGGAAGACACATTTCGGTTGATTGCATTCAGTTGTGCAACTGAATAGATTTATTTTTCCTGTCAGGAAGTCCAGGAAGGTGTTTAATCCCAGGGTCCTTAGCTTAGTGATGAGCTTGGAGGGCATTATGGTGTTGAATGCTGAGCTGTAGTCAATGAACAGCATTTTCACGTAGGTGTTACTTTTGTCCAGGTGGGAAAGGGCAGTGTGGAGTGCAATAGAGATTGCATCATTTGTGGATCTGTTGGGGCGGTATGCGAATTGGAGTGGGTCCAGGGTGTCTGGGATAATGGTGTTGATGTGAGCCATGACCAGCCTTTCAAAGCATTTCATGGCTACAGATGTGAGTGCTACGGGGCGGATCCTGCCTTTCTAGGGAGTTTTTCCTAGCCACGGTGCTTCTACATCTGCATTGCTTGCTGTTTGGGGTTTTAGGCTGGGTTTCTGTATAGCACTTTGTGACCTGCTGATGTAAAAAGGGCTTTATAAATACATTTGAATGATTGATTGATTGATTGATTGATTAATTAATTCAAGGGGGCCACTCTTGAAGTTTTCATCTCATTTGTTTTTTTACTATTACTTAGATTTGTGTTTTAAAGGCTAACGCTGCGCACTTAAACTTGCAAAGCTGCCATTTACCCCTCAAATTGAGTATTTTGATAGTACTTAATTTTGTCTCGACCTGTTAAAATCTCATATGTCTGACCCTGTTTGTCACGCCCTGGCTCCGGGGACTCTAGTATGTTGAGCCAGGGTGTGAGTTTTCATTTGTTTATGTTCTAGTTGTTGTATATCTATGTTGGCCAGGGTGGCTCCCAATCAGAGATGGCTGTAGCTCGTTGTCTCTGATTGGGAGTCATACTTAGGTAGCCGTTAGGCATTCATTATTTGTGGTTTCTTGTTCCGTGTTGGTTTGTTTATGTAACCAGGGACGTCACGTTTCGTTTTGTTGTTTTGATCGTGTGATCATTCTAATAAATAAAATGTTCGCATTCAACGCTGCGCCTTGGTCCTCCTCTATGAATGACGATCGTGACAGAAGAAACCACCAAGATGTGACCAAGCAGCGTGTCCAGGAGCCATCGCCAGGGAGATCCCTAACAGATCTCCTTCGCCTCCTCGACTGGGTCAAGCCGAGTGAGGAAGAGAAGGGCTTGACATTGTGGCAGAAGGGCGAAAGGCTGGCGAGGGACATGGAGACCTGGTCCACGGGTAGGGGAGACGCCCAGAACATTTTTAGGGGGGGGCTAACGCCGTGGACGACGGGCCAGCAGGAGACCGCGGCAGAGCGGCCCAGCGGATTGGCAGAGGAGGCCGCCAGGTTACGGGGGCCACTGGTCGAAGAGGGGGTGGAAGATGTAGAGGCACGGCGAGAGGTACTAGCGTGTGTTGCCAGTCCGGTCCGGCCTGTTCCTGATCCCCACGTAGGGCCAGTGGTGTGTGTTCCCAGTACGGTCCGGCCTGTTCCTGCCACTCGCACCAAGTCTACGGTGCGCATCGCCAGCTCGGCCCGGCCCATTCCTGCTCCCCGCACCAAGTCCGTGGTGCATTTCGTCAGCCCTGTCCGGCCCGTTCCTGCTCTCCGCACCAAGTCTGTGGTGCGCGTCGCCAGCCCAGTCCAGCCCATTCCTGCTCCCCGCACCAAGTCTGTGGTGCGTTTCGTCAGCCCTGTCCGGCCCGTTCCTGCTCTCCGCACCAAGTCTGTGGTGCGCGTCGCCAGCCCAGTCCGGCCCATTCCTGCTCCCCGCACCAAGTCAGTGGTGCGTTTCGTCAGCCCTGTCCGGCCCGTTCCTGCTCCCCGCACCAAGTCAGTGGTGCGCGTCGTCAGCCCGGCACGGCCCGTTCCTGCTCCCCGCACCAAGTCAGTGGTGCGCTTCGTCAGCCCGGTCCGGCCCGCTCCTGCTCCCCGCACCAAGTCAGTGGTGCGTTTCGTCAGCCCGGCTCGGCCCGCTCCTGCTCCCCACACCAAGCCAGTGGTGTGCGTCGTCAGTCCGGCACGGCCCGTGCCTGTTCCACCGGTGGCGGGTCCGGCACCGGGCAGGTGCTGCGTCACGCCGGAGCTAGAGCAATCCGCTCCACCAGTGTTCAGTTCAGCTCTGGTCAGCAGGGCCAGACCGGACCAGGGGTACTTTGGGGGGTTAGAGAAGGAGTGGGGGTCATGTCCGGAGCCGGATCCGCCGCCGAGGCGGAGTGCCCACCCGGTCCCTCCCCTGTTGTATTTGGTTGGCGCGGTCGGAGTCCGCGCCTTTAGGGGGGGGGTACTGTCACGCCCTGGCTCCGGGGACTCTAGTATGTTGAGCCAGGGTGTGAGTTTTCATTTGTTTATGTTCTAGTTGTTGTATATCTATGTTGGCCAGGGTGGCTCCCAATCAGAGACGGCTGTAGCTCGTTGTCTCTGATTGGGAGTCATACTTAGGTAGCCGTTAGGCATTCATTATTTGTGGTTTCTTGTTCCGTGTTGGTTTGTTTATGTAACCAGGGACGTCACGTTTCGTTTTGTTGTTTTGATCATGTGATCATTCTAATAAATAAAATGTTCGCATTCAACGCTGCGCCTTGGTCCTCCTCTATGAATGACGATCGTGACACTGTTATTGTGAAAAAAATAGTTGGAAACAGATAACGCCCCCTGTCGAGGTCTCCAATTAATTTAGCCATGGAATTGTGGCTTCAGAATCAAGCTAATAAAACATTCTCAATAAAAAGGATGTTGGACTGTGTTAGAAGAATAAATAGCAAGGAAACTGATAGATTAATTATTAATGACTAATTATTACACCCTGAAACTGTGTATAATGTGTTAGAAATGTGTGAGTGTAGGACCAGTAAAGGCTATGGCATTGAGCCACTATTTAGCAATGTGAGTAAGAGTTAGGCCAGACAACAAAGACAACTGAGAAACTAAGATAAAGAGGCCTCCCAATTTAGGGAGGGGAGAAACTGTTTGAAAACATGGTGCAGAATATTGTGAGAACGGCAATAACTGAGTAATGCAGGGAGTAGGATATGTGTGTGTGTGTGTGTGTGTGTGTGTGTATGAATGTGTGTATGCATGTGTGTATATGTGTGTGTGTGTGAACTGAAGGTCAGTAGAGCAGTTTTAGAGTGGAAAACTACAGCCCGCCTACAGAGGGGAGGGATTTCTTTTTGTATGACGTATGAGTATAAAAGATGGACTCTGAAATTGTGATGGCAGAATTCTCAATGAATAAATATCTCTGACTATGCAGACCGGGACTCTGGCCGTTACTTAAATCCCAAAAGACTTACAACCTTTTGGGAGACGCACAGAGACACTAAAATAGTTTGTTAAATAATTCACATAACAGCTTGGTCCTTAAACAAATACAAAAAGTACACCAGAAGGAATTAAAATAGCATGTGTGAGAAATAGAATATTAGTAAAGTCAAAAGTCACAAACAACTGTAGATTTTGCTGTAACTCTATCCGTTCTGGAGCCTTATAGCAAGGAAACATTGTAAATCAAATGTTATCTCGTGCTTTCATAATTAAGAGTCACTAACAGTACGTTTTGATTGATTTCATTTATTTTACAATGTAAAAAAATTTGACAGCCATACGTCATTTTGTGTTTTGAGTACCTTACAAACTCACAGTGGGTACAAAATTGGAGGCTCCCCTGGGATACATACAATGCAATGTACAGGCAAGCGTTTGTTAAGCCTCTTTACCAGGATGCTCATACTAACCCTCAGCCCAGAAGTGCACAGGTACTGTACCATATACTATCATTCAACCACAGCGCGGTGGCACGGCTACAAGCGACACGCAGAAAGCAAACCCAAGGTCCGTTACCGCGAAGGTGTATTACCCCAAATGCACAGGAGGGAATTGGCAAGTTTCCCAGCCCCGACTGACAAAAACTGAGAGTGTCTCCCGGGAATGGAAAGGGATTGAATGTAAACTACCATTCAGTATGTGTCGCGATCGTTGCACGATGAAGCGGACCAAGGCGCAGCGTGATAAGCGTACATACTTTATTCAGTACTGACACGAACAAAACAACAAACGAAACGTGAAGTCCTAGGTTAATAACACAAACCTTAACGGAACAAGATCCCACAATGACTAGTGAAAACAGGCTGCCTAAGTATGGTTCCCAATCAGAGACAACGAGCTACAGCTGCCTCTGATTGGGAACCACCCTGGCCAACATAGATCTAAACGATCTAGAATGAGAACATAGAACAACTAAACATAGGAAATCCACACCCTGGCTCAACAATTAAGAGTCCCCAGAGTCAGGGCGTGACAGAATGCGACCGAAGCCGAAGCCCCAACCGTGCACTGGCGACAGCTGTGTCGCTGGTGGTGGCGAAGACCCGAGAGGGCAGCAGCCCCCCTTGGTTCACGACAAAGCGGCACAGTTTCTCTGGGAATTTCTAGACTTTGGATCGGAACGTGTGCAACATCAAATCAGGGTGTGTGATTGTCTGGTGCAGTTTTTAGACAATCAAAAAATTATCAGCTCCTAAAATAATTAATAGTTTTGTCATTTACGTTGGCAGAAAAAATAGTAATGCTACATTGTTGAGGAGAAATACAGATTATATTATTTAGAAAACAAGACTTCAACAGATATGTAGTTTATAATAGTTGTGTATTCCTGTGGGCTTCTTTACTAGGGCGCATTAGTCCAGCTGGAAGTCTTAAATTATCTCTAATAGTGTTCAATTTAACACTCAAAAAGCGTCCATATTGTCCCATGCTACACAGAGTTAATGTTACACTTTCAAAAGGGTTAACTTTTTAACACTTTCAACGTTTTTGTAACTCTATAAATAATTGTATTTTAACACTGGACAACACTGGTTATTGTTGTATTCACTCTTATTCTACACTAGTGTAAAGTTGTGAAAAATCAACTCTATCAGAGTTAATTTTTAACTCTATTTGTTTATTATCTTTTAACACTGAAGATTGTAAACTGAAATTAATGTGGCAATATATCAGTGAAACCTCAGAACAATTGATGTAAGTTATTCCGATGGAAAGGTATTTTTGCGTACATACAAACAATTACAATCAATAATGATGGTTTTTCCACTCTAATTAGTGTTTGTGTGCATTTTGTAGAGTTAAGTGTATGCATGTGTGCACATTATACAAGTATTTTTGGCACATTTGTGTGTGTTTGTGGGGGTAGGGGGTTATGTGCAATGTGTGTATGTGTGTGGCTGTGGGTCTAAACACTTCATATGTGTGTCTGTAATGTATTCCTGCATGTTTCCCTGTCCATGTCCTCCCTCCCACAGGCAACAACAAAGTACCCTCGGAAGACGCCCTGGTGCTGCAGTTGCTTCTGGCCAAGGGCCAAGAGAAGATGGTGGAGACACTGAAGGGCCAGCGGGACGAGATTAGGGAGCTGCAGCACAGACTGAGCGAACAGCAGGGGACGCTGGTCAGCCAGCAGAGAGAGATCCTGGAGCAGCAGAGCTGTACCAACAGATGGACCAGGTCTGGAACCACGTCTCAAACATTGTGGTTTCCCTTTGCTGGAGGGAAGATTTAATAGACATAATGTAGATCTTGGGCTTTTGCCTGGCGACTTCAGTGGTATTTTGCCGGGACAAATAACACATTATGTGTTTGTAATAGACCACTGGAAGGTTTAATGAATTTATTTTCACCAATATTTTGGTCAATTAAACCTTTAATAAAGTCTACCTAAAACCATCCAATAAAATTAAAGAATGCAGTAAATGCAGTGCTCTGATAAAGGAGCTTGTCCGAAACGCATCAGCATTAAACATTGAAAGTTGCCGTCCCAAACTTTCTTTCAGCAATCCAGTAAATGCAGTAACTTTTGTGTTTGGTCTCATCTCAGGTCAAGGCCCAGTATGACCTACTCCTGGAGAGCGTCAAGCAGATGTCCTTCCAGGGCATGCAGGAGGAGCTAGAGTGCCACATGGTGGCTCTCAGGGGACAGGCAAGGGCTGACCACAGGCAGGCCTACGCTGTGCACAAGGTGGACATGGAGGCCAGTGTAATGTAAGGAGAGCGCCCCATATTGGCCTATGGCTCTTGTGGAGCTGAGGAGTACTGTGACTTCAGGACGGGTCGGCCCCAATGTGAGAGGTTCACCGTCTGTCCAGCTGGCTTCTTCCTGGTGTCCCAGTGCTCCATCCATATGCCAGGCGAGGAAAAGTGTTAGCAATGTTAAAAATACAACACACAAATCAATCAAAATGTATATAAAGTGTATTAGGGGTAGAACAATAATGGTCCAAGGACCGAACCTTGCGGAAATCCGTCTGTAAAAGTATTCTGAATATTCTTAATATAAACACCCATTCAGGAGTTATATTAATCACATTTGATGTATTACAGGACAGAGATGAGTGCCTTGAAATACAAACCTGTGTGGAGAACAGGAGAAACACTCCAGGTAAGTAGGGTTTCACCTGTTTGGGAAAAAACTCACACTGTATCAGCAATCCTTTAACCTATTCAAAATATGCTACACAGAAAAAAATCACTTAATATTGAAGGTGAAAGAGTTAGAAATGTTCTACTTCTGTATTTGTGTGTGAGAGAGTTAACTCTTGTCCGCCACAGTTTCTTTGTGAACCAGATGGGTTTAGGTGCCAGGGCTTGTCTGAGAGAGAGGCCAGTGCAGGCTTGTGTGGACACGCCTACTTCTACAACTCTGAGATGGAGGAATGTCAGGCCTTTCAGGAGTGTGAGGCGGAGCCAGTGGCCACACCCTGCACCTCCATGAGTGACACTGTCTGCTCCACCCCCTCCCCCACCGACAGCAGGAGGCTGTCGCTTGCCTGGGCTGGGGATGTGATCTTGCTTCCTTCCAAGAGCCACGCTCCTGGCCATGCCTTCCCTAACCTCCAGCTCCACATCCAGGGACGGGGCGAAGGCGAGCTGCTCTCCACTGAAGATGGCCATCTGGTGCTCAGACAGCACGGACTAGTGTGGGCCGACGAGAACCTGGCACTAAGCCACGGTTGCCGTAGTTTCGTCCAGTTGTGTCTGCGGCTCAATGCCAGCGACGGGGCAGAGGAGCGGGACCTTAGCGGGGTTAGGGTGGAGCAGCGGGAGGGGAAATTGCTTCAGAGTGCCAGCATCAGCGGGGTGGCGGAGGTGGCTCCAGGAAGTATGGTCTCCCAGCTCCTTAGAAGCGCCAGCCACCACCGCAACTGCACCAGCGACAGCCTGCACCTCCACGATCCCTCGGCGCCCCCTCTCAGCCTCATCTGGCTGTCCCACGACACTGGGGCGGTTGCCATGATGGCACAGGCGGTGTCGACATCACACTACCACACAAACTACCGACCCGCCTTCCAGACCACGTCCACCTCCGACCCGTACGTGGTCGGACTGACTCATGATGGGCATGGAGTGCGCTTCACTGAAAGCGGCACAGTGCGCTTCGTGTTCCAGCAGGCACTCTACTCCATGGGCCAGACATGCCTGACGAAAGGCTTTCACCTGCTGGCCTACATCAACCGCAATGGGAGCAACATGGAGCTGGCCCGGACCTACCGTGACACATCCATCTCCCTGTTGGCTGCCACCTGGGTCAGCCCCGTCGATTCTCTGGGCTTCGAGATCCCCTCTCCTGGGCAGTGCAACATCCGCTACTTCGGTGACGACTCCGGCATCAGCGGCCTCAGCTTAGTGTGGGACCCCGCCACCATCTCCTCTGCCCCTATCCGCCTTCATGGCACGCACAGGCTTGTACTCCGGAGGGGTACTTCCGCCAGGTCAGCCCCCACGTGCTGCAGGTGCAGGTCGGGCTTCCAATGAATGACCACACCGACCATCAACGTGACTTTGTCTTCTGGGAGAGCGGGACAGTCAGCTTGGCACTCGACCTGAAGCTGATCCACTCCTGCAACCTGGTTAAAGTTACCCTGATTCGGCGTAGAGGCGAGGGGGCAGGGGAGGAGGGCAAGTCGCTGCCACAGCAAGTTGGTGGGCAGATGCCGGATGGCAGCGAGTGAGCCAGTGTGGGGCTGCGGGTGTCCTTCCAGGTCCACAATGGCTCGGTGGTTTTTGTCACACTGGACTGCGTGTGAGGACGCATCAATCAGATCAGTCATCAGGCAGGGAGCGGCATCTCGGTACTATGGGTGGCAGCATAGCACTAGTCTAGATACAACAAACGAAGAATACCTCGCTAACCTAAAGCAGGGTTTTTCAAATTGTTTACATCTTCGATTAGCCTTCAATCAACATAGGCCGACTTTAGCATGGTTTTGGTTTATGGTACAAAACTGCTTATAAGTTGTTTTCTTTATCATTGTATTTTGACTGTGGTACTAATACCCTTACTTATACTCACTTATAATAGACCAAAGGATGATTTTGGTGGGTAGCAGAGAGCATATTTAAGCTTCATGGTCTTCTATCCATATTTCATACTGTATTTTGATACTATATTGGTGCTAGAATTAGCATTGTTATTCAACAATTCTTGGTATGAACCTTTGTTCATGTAGAAATCTGTTGTGCGCATATTTGTAGTCTTTCTTGTATTTATACAATTAAGTTACTGTATTGACGCCAGAGTTTTATAGAATATACTTGTTGTGACATTTAAATTCTCTGCATTTATCAAGGATGATTTTGCAGGGCTTGTTTTACTCTGAAGTGTGTTAAGAGCGTACAGCGCCTTCAGAAGGTATTCATACCCCTTGACTTATTCTACATTTTGTTGTGTTACAGCCTGAATTCTAAATGGATTAAATCGATTTTTTCTCAATCAGCTACACACAATACTCCATAATGACAAAGTGAAAACATGTTTATAGACATTTTTGCGCATTTATTGAAAATGAAATACAGAAATATCTCATTTACATAAGTATTCACACCCCTGAGTCAATACATTTTAGAATCACCTTTGGCAGCGATTAGAGCTGTGAGTCTTTCTGGGTAAGTCTCTAAGAGCTTTGCACACCTGGATTGTACAATATTCGGCCATTATTCTTGAAAAAAGTATTTAATGCAGAAATCTCTCTGCCATTTCCTGATTGCAAAAATTATCATAGTTCATCTAATTTCAGTTTATGTGACAAAACAAGCAGTCTCTTGTGTAGAGAATCATTGTACCATCTAAACCACTGTGAAATATATTTTCCATAAATAAAACATATTGTATATTCAGCTTTTTGAAGCTGGTGTACAAAACCAAAAGTAAGAGACGCAAAAACAAAACTTCAGAACGGGAAGCATAGAAATAGCCAACATAGAACAGATCTACAGCTTCTTAGACTTTCTTTCAACGGGAATGAAAGATCTGTAACTCACATTTCTATGTGAATTTGGTCTGGTCCCCCAAAAGTTACATATTGTAGCTTTAAGCTCTGTCAGGTTGGTTGTTGATCATTGCTAGACATTTTCAAGTCTTTCCATAGATTTCAAGCCAATTTAAGTTAAAACTGTAACTATGCCACTCAGGAACATTCAATGTCATCTTGGTAAGCAACTACATTGTAGATTTGGCCTTGTGTTTTAGATTATTGTCCTGCAGAAAGGTGAATTCATCTCCCAGTGTCTGTTGGAAAGCAGACTGAACCAGGTTTTCCTCTAGGATTTTGCCTGTGCTTAGCTCCATTCCGTTTAACTTTATCCCCAAAAACTCCCTAGTCTTGCTGATGACAAGCATACCCATAACATGATGCAGCCACCACCAGGCTTGAAAATATGAATAGTGGTACTCAGTAATATGTTGGATTTGCCCCCAACATTACGCTTTGTATTCAGGACAAAACGTTCATTTCTTTGCCACATTTCTTGCAGTATTACTTAAGTGCCTTGTTGCAAACAGGATGCATGTTTTGGAATAGTTTTTATTCTGTACAGGCTCCCTCTTTTTTTATTTTCACCAATCGGTGCACTTCTTTGCGAGGCATTGAAAAACCTCCCTTGTCTTTGTAGCTGAATCTGTACTTGAGGGACCTTACAGATAATTGTATGTGTGGGGTACAGAGATGGGATAATCATTCAGAAATCATGTTAACCACTATTGTTGAACATGGAATGAGTCCAAGCAACTTATTATGCAATTTGTTAAGCACATTTGTAACTCCTATACTTATTTAAGCTTGCCATAACAAAGGGGTTGAATACTTACTGACTCACAACATTTCAGCTTTTATCTACGACCAAAATTCCACTTTGACATTATGGGTTATTGTGTGTAGATCAGTTACACAAAATCTCAATTTAATCCATTTTAAATTCAGGCTGTAACACAACAAAATGTGGAAAAGGTAAAGGGGTGTGAAGGCACTTTGTGTTTCGGGTTAGCCGCCATATTCTAATGTGACTATCCTCTGCGTGCCTTATATACAGTAATGACCATTTTCAGGAGACCCTAGGCTAACAGAAAGGGGTTGTACATTTGTCTGGAGGTCCACTTGTGTTAGACATCCACAAACAATCATGTTTAACATGGACACAGTATGTAAGTAGTATAAACATATTGTTTACCCCAAATGAGCTGTAATAAAATGTATATATATATATTTTTTTACAGTGATTCCAATCCAATGCATTTGTAATGCCTGATGTGCAATGCTGCTGCTGTAGTGTCTCTCTGCATTAGCATACATTTAGCATGACATTTAGAGACATGTTGGGCTAAGTCCAGTAGATAGTAGGCTTACTATAACCACTATTTAGAGTTCTAAGAAAAGCAATTATGCCACCAGCCAAAGTGCCAGTCTTTAATGCCGAAATACATGCTTTGTAAACATTGAACTGAAAACACTGATTATGACACCAAACCTCAACCTTATTATTAAGTCAAGGTCATTAAACACTGCTTTAACAAGACTGTAGGTTACATCTTTTTTGGGGGGGTTGAAAGTTTGTTATATATTTAAGCAATGATGTTCCTGGATACAGTCCTTAACCGTGGTATATTGGCCATACACCAGAAACCCCAGAGGTGCCTTATTGCTATTATAAACTGGTTACCAACATAAATAGAACAGTAACATTTTGTTTTTGCGTCATACCTGTGGTATATTGTCTGATATACACATGCTGAAATGTTTCCGCCAACCAGGATCGAGGACCCAAACTACCCGGTTTATAGTTAAGCAATAAGGCACGAGGGGGTGTTGTATATGGCCAATATACCACGGCTAAGGGCTGTTTGCAATAGATTAGCAAAAATGTCCCAAAAATGTTTTTGCTTTGTCATTATGGGGTATTGTGTGTAGATTGATGAGGAAAAACAAAACAATTTAATCCATTATAGAATAAGGCTGAAACGTAACAAAATGTGGAAAAAGTGAAGTGGTCCGAATACTTTCAGAATGCACTGTATGTTTTCAGTAAACATTGGAGACTAAATATAGTTTACATATTGTCAACAATTTAAGCCAACCTCATCTGTTTTGTCCCATAGTTGCGCACGCGTCGGTTTCGTTGCTAAACAACCAACCCATCTATAGAGATCAGTCCTTTCGGGAGCCCAGATAACCTATTTATAAATCCCATCATTGGATGGTTCGGTAGTTCGGTTTCCCAAGGTACTCCATGCACACTTTTTTTGTTCATTGTCAGAACACAAAATAACTACAGCCCACAGTCCCTCTGTGTATTCAGCTTGACACAGCACTGACCAGAAGCTTCTCATTCTCTGATATACAATATCAATAAATATTCAGTATATTTTCAGTATATTCAATCATATATTCAATATTCAATAACCTATTTTATTTAATGCTATGGTTAAGTGTCTAAAAACGTAAGGGTCGTTACAAATTAGCCATCTGTTTGGTTCAACTATAATTTATATTGTTGGGACTTTATTAGTCTGATATTAGGCTCCTCATGAAATTCTAGTCTGTAAAAACAATTCAAGGATGAGGAAGTAACATTTTAAGACTTGTCATAAGCATGTATGAGCCCCTTAAATGGATAGTCCAGCCACATTACAAACGTACATATTTGTTTCCTTATTGAAAGCAGTCTATGGACAAGGAGAGACTGCAATCCACCCTTTGGTTTTGCTTACCTTGTCACTGCCAATTATATTTGTATTTTCTAACCAAAATCAATGTTCCCCAAAATTCAAACAAATTAAGTAGCGACACTGTCATGACTTCCTCCGAAGCTGCCTCCCCTCCTTGTTCAAATCACGCATCACAAACACAATCCCTTTCAAGGGACTATGAAATTATTTGGGCATGACATACAGGCCTGGCAGAAAATATACATTGATTACGTCTACAGTTATGTATGCTTATCTCCACCAGGGTGTAGTGTTGTTCTATGTGATGAAGAAGTAAGTATTCTCTCCAGACCACTGTTCGACAATACCCGTCAAATAACAACAGAAAATAATATTGAGTTTTATATAAATATTTATTGCAAGCATACAATAGTGGTACAAGTTCACTTAATAAACAAGTCATACCAGTCTGATGGAGCGAAGAGCAGTGAGACGTTGGGCCAATATGTTTACTGTCATGCAGAAGCCACTGTATCATAGATACAACATAATTGTGTTCCTGATTACCTGGGTCTTATTCACTAGGATACCAAATGGAGGAAAACAGACTGAAACAGGCTAAGCTGAACTCGTCCAATAACAAATGTTTGTTTCCAGTGTGAAAGTTTTCCATTGCAATAATGAATATGACCCTTAGGTCTTTGACGACAACAACAACAAGAGTTACTTGTTACTGGTGGAGTAGATCAAATCACCACCACTAAAATGTTACAATGGCCATGTAAAAGGAAGAGGGAATCAGTAATAATGCTAAAGTGGCAAATGTTTTTCATGCAATGCAATGGTGCAGACACACACACGATATACACACCCATGCATACACGCACACATGCAAGAATGCACAAACACACACACACACACACACACACCTGTGTGGTGACACTATTTTGACAATCAATGTCATAGCATTTGATTTTAGGTGAACAATTATAAGGTGTTATCAAGCAATTGTATGGATTTGGAAAGCAAGCAAAAGTAAAATATGCTGTATAATCCATCTGATTTTTAATTGCTTTTGGTCCATAAGAGAGCACTGAAGTGATTATACATAAACCTTAAAATAAAAAGTTTGATGTATTGACGTTTGGTAAAAAGGACAAGACAAAACTTGCTAATGATTCACCTAAAATGAACATATATAAATTCATGTCAACATTGTACAAGAGGGGGGGGGGGGGGGACCTTTGGGGATCTTACAATACTGCTTCAATATTTTTTCCATATCATATTTTCAGATTAATGCACATAGAAACATTCTTCAAAGCTTTATGGTTTAAGTTGTATTTGAACTTTGAACTTGAACATTTAATTATAATAGGTAACATCAAGTATTACATCTTCATTACCATATGTTTTGAATGTAAGTTGACGAATGGACCTAAAGACACTTTTGGAAGTGCTTTGCCACATGCTACAGCAGTTATTTTGAGAAACGTATATATCAAAGATAAACTTCTGTTTCTTTTTACAGACATAAAGCATGTTTGACTAAATGGAGACCAGTGAGATACTTTCCCTTCAGAGCATGTATCCTCATGTTGTTACCTATGTACTAAGTGTTAACTATGTACGGTTCACCTATGTACCTATTTCTCCTGCTCATCACTCAAAATTAATATCCTTTGTATAATCTATAAGGCCAAAAATTGAGGCACAATTATCTGTGCACTGTGCGTAATATGGAAATTACATGATGTACTTCCCAATGACCAACACTGTGAACTCATACTCCAACCACTACTTGACAAAAATGGCACATGTGCAGGATACAGGCCAAAGAGAACTCTAGCAACAGTTAGGACGTAATTTTATGTATTGAAGAGTGTGACAAAACGAGCACAAAGGCAAACTGAGCAAATCTACAAGCAAATAGTGCCGACTACACATTCCTCTACATTTCAGATAAAGTGCGCGTTTTGAAGAACGAATACTTTGTTTGGAATGCTTTAAGAGAAAGTAGTGTCATGTTTTTCTTCACAATATGATTCTGACATAACCACAGGGCAAATTGTGCAGAATTTTTTTTCCCCACACTTCCCCTATCTTTAAAACACAGTTTGCAGGGCTTTTGTGCCGTGAATACAAAACATATAAAGTCTATCATGTAAAATATCATGCACGTTTCTCTGAACCATTGTCTTCAAAATCCCACGGACAAACGTCAACCTTTTTGGCAGTGCTCATGGGTTGTTTGTAATTAGAACTCAAAGAATTTTCTTTCGCTGGAGAAGTCTTTGTCTGTGCCATGTTGGTTGGCGTGTTCTCTACCTCCCACGGGCATGCCTGCACTCTCTTGTTCTCCGACACCTCCGGGTCTCTTGTCGAGCTCCTCCGTCTCCCAGACGTTGGCACGGTGACCGAACCGCCCTCCGAGGATTGGCTGACACGTCGTCTTTCCGAGGGCCTGCTGGAGGAGCTCCTCCTCTCCTTGCTCTTTGACCTGTGTTGCTTCTCTTCCTCCCTGTCCCTCCCTCCTTTCTCTCTCTCACCCCTCTCTCCCCTCTCTTTGGAGGAGCATGAGCCTTTTCGTTTCCTCTTGGAGTGAGGCGTGGGGCTGGAGCAGGTCTTCTCCTGGCTGGGGGAGGGCGGGGCTGGGGCTTCGTTGTAGTCCCAGGGACAGATGTCCACCATCAGGGTGGGCGGCTGCAGCAGACTCCCTGTGGATTTGGAGTAGTCTGAGTGAAGGATCTTGGGCTTCCCATCAGTGGGTGTGACGCTCTTCTTATGTCTGATCCTCTCTGGGGAGATGGAGTCTGAATCACCTCCCAACACTGGCTGCTCCTCAAAGGCCCAGGGGCACACCTCTGGTTTGAGGGGGAGTGGAGATCTGGGAGACCTGGGCTTCCTTGTTTCTCTGGCCTCGTCTGGATCGCCCCCCTTATCTTTGGAGCGACGTCGGCCTGCAGGCGATTGCCCTGCGGCTCCCTGCTGCTTCTGTTGGGAGCGACTGCCCTTAGTACTAACCGCACCACCACCACCACCCCCCCTGTGGACCGTGGTGGTCTCTCCCAGAGCAATGGACACATGCTTCTGTGACCTTCCTTCCGAGGGGGTTTGGGGGTCCTCCACATCCCAAGGGCACACCTCGGAGAGGTCATACAGGTTTCTCCCTGGCTCTGTATTGATGGATGGCTGGCTGCCACTCACCTGCTGCTTCATGATGCCCATCTTGCCCATGGGCGTCTTGGAGTACTCCACCGACTGGCTGATGATCATCTTGGGATAACACTCCTTCTCTTCCGCCTCGTCCACCTCAGACAGCATCCTCCCATCGCGGCCCTTGAGTCCCTTCTTGCTGGCTTCCTCCACGCTATGCGTCTTGATGGTGAGCCCGGGCATCTTCTCTTTGGCACTGGTTATGACACTCAGTGACTTCTGCATGATGGACGTCCTCAGGTGGATGGGCTTTTTATCCACTGTAAAGTTGTGCGCGCTGGCCGACTTGCAGACCAAGGGCACTGACTCGGTGGACTCGGCCGGTTCAACCCTTGGGGCATGCTCTGGTGACTTCTTCACTTGCCTCCTCATGAGGGATCCAAGCAAGGAACCCTCACCGGCGGCCATTTTGTCCCCAACTGAGCCATTTTGTCCGCCAGCAGTTTCCTCCCCTTGGTCACAGACGTGGTCGAAGCTGTGCGATTTCTTCAGGCCCAGGACCTTGTTTTTCAGAGAGTCTTCCCTGGACTTGTGACCAGAGTGGGATGGGTCAAAGGGGTTCCGTCGAAGGGTGCTGCGGTTGCTCCCATGCTCACTACAGTCACGATCCTCACGACTGCCATGGCTGCCGTGCCGGTGCATGGTCTCTGGGATCTCAGTGATGCGTCTCATGAGGGAGCGGCCCAGGCCCTTCTTGGAGCTGCGCTTCTTCTGGAGATGGGGGTTGTTGGCCAACATCTTCTTGCGCTTGTAGACCTCCAGTTGGACGTAGAGCTTCTTTAGCTCATCCTAAAATAGCGACACAGATAGAGGGGTTGAGAGAGAGAAAAGTGGATGAGAAATCATAATGCTTGTTCAATGCGAAAAGGATTTATCCAAGTGTTTGTGCTACAGACATTTTCTGACACAAACTAACCATGGTCCATTTCCTTGACAGACCAGAACTTTGCCACAAGGTAGCGACTTCCCACAGGGGTCAGTGTTGGGGCCAATCCAGTTTTTAATCTACATACTCTCACTAAGCCAAATCCTCAGAGACCACAAAATAAACTTTCACTGCTAAACTGATACTCAAGTATACGTAAAAACAAAACGGACACAACATCTCTGCCTTATCAAACTTTGGCACTTGCTCTAATGAAATGCGCTATACGAATTACACTTTATCATTAATTATTAAAATGTGGTGCCGTCAGTGATACGCCTTCATTGATTGGGCACGTTCCCCAAAAAAAGCTGTTTGCCTTTGTTCAGAAACAGCAAATGGGTGCTTAATCTGACCAGTTTTTTAAAAAAGACAGGGAGGGACCCTGCTCACCCGTATGTCCTCAGGGTCCAGGCTGTGCTCACTCCAGGCTGAGGTGATGCTGCTGTTGAGGTAGGACCCAGACCGGCCCATGTCCAGCTCCTCCTCATAGGCTTCAGTGGCAATGTCATCCCTTGCCTGAGTCCCTGTGGACAGAAACTAACGAGAGGGGAAAAAACCTTCTTAGGGTGACATTATTTAAAATGTTATAGTGCATTTGTTCACGCCGTGCTTGTCTTTGCAAGAGGAAAATGTCGCCGACAGACAAGATTGACATCATCCCATTGTTCCTAATTGTCTTATACTTCTGAGGCATCTAATTAAGTCTTGAGAAATGAGCAGTTTATTCCCCACTCATCGAGTGTTTAAATGTTCTCCATAAGACTGAAGAGATAGTTTAAAATACTCAGATGTGCATTTCAATTACAGTAAGAGAATCATTATTGCAGTAAGAAGCTGTTTAATGTACTGGTTATGTATTCAGGGGAAAAGTAGAGGAGGGAGAGCAGGGTTACCTTTGGAACAAGCAGCAGCCCCAAAGTCACAGTCACGGTGAGGTGTGTGTGAGCGAAGACCAGCATGAGCATCCAGTCAGGGTGCCACAGAGGGGCCAGAGTGAACCTGCAAATAGATACCAACAGGTTTATTTGAGGACACTATTATCTAAGTGTAATTGAGTGCATTCTATTCTGCACTGAGCAGGGCTGGAACGCACAACCCTAGTCAAAAGATCCTATAGGATTTGTGATTTTTCCAATAGAATCCTGCTCGGCCATGAAAACCCATTTCATGAAGGTCCCGACGAACAGTTCTTGTGCTGACGTGGCTTCCAGAGGCAGTTTGGAACTCAGTAGTGTGTGTTGCAACCGAGGACAGACGATTTTTACGCGCTTCAGCACTCGGCGGTCCCGTTGTGTGTTCTACCACTTTGCGGCTGGAAAGGTGGCATCCTATGACGGTGACACGTTGAAAGTCACTGAGCTCTTCAGTAAGGCCATTCTACTGTCAATGTTTGTCTATGGAGATTGTAAGGCTGTGTGCTCGATTTTATACACCTGTCAGCAACGGGTGTGGCTGAAATAGCCGAATCCACTCATTTGAAGGGGTGTCCACATACTTTTGTATAGATAGGGTAGCTACTGGGTAGAGGGGACATTGCTGGCGGATTCCCACTATAGGGTCAAGTGACAAGGGTAGAGTGGAGGCTGCTGAGGGGAGGGCAGCTCATAATAATGGCTGGAATGGAGTCAATGGAATGGTATCAACCATTGCGAGTGTAGCGAAATGCTTGTGCTTCTAGTTCCGACAGTGCAGCAATATTTAGTTTTTTGTCATTTAGCAGACACTCTTATCTACCCGGAACATATCCCAGTCCGCGTGATCAAAACAATCTTGAAGCATGGATTCCGATTGGTCAGACCTGCATTGAATAGTCCTTAGCACGGGTGCTTCCTGTTTGAGTTTCTGCCTATAGGAAGGGAGGAGCAAAATGGAGTCGTGGTCAGATTTGCCGAAAGGAGAGCGGGGGAGGGCCTTGTATGCATCGCGGAAGTTAGTGCAACAATGGTCCAGTGTTTTTCCAGTGCGAGTGCTACAGTCAATATGTGAGTGGAGCGGTGAGAATCTCAGCTCCTCGCTCACGGAGCTGTTCACCCCTCCGCTCCCCCTGCTCAAAGCCACATCAGGCCAGTCCGCTCATTATCGCTCAGCGCTCAACGCAGTTTGCATCGCGCACCACTCAAATCGCCCCCCCCGCTCGCTCCAAAAAAGGAACAAAATATGCATGTATTTCACTTTTAGCTTAAACCACAGCCTTACTTTATCTCCCCGGTTTTGTTGCATACAGACTCATCTCGGATTATCCATTCTGTCTTGAAACAGGGATCTAACACTGATGCTAAAATTAGATGTTAATCAGTATAGTATATTCCATAGCGAATTGACACGTTGTTTGCCAATGTTTCTGCAAAAGCAGCGATGCCCATTGGAAGTGCAGCGTGAGTGTCATCGGTGAGCAGGGATTTGATTTCTGTGACAGCAGGGAGGATCATCCCCAGGTTCCCCAGCTCCTTCTGCATTTTGTCTATGAGGTCTGCCAGTGTTGTCAGCACACTGACAAGGTGTGTCAGTTGCCGTACTTGATTCAGGGTGATTTTAGCAACATTAGACTTGTTTTGCCATAACGGGTCTTTTTGGAACAACCGGATGAACGACTGAATCATCTGCAGCTGGCTGCTCCATCGAGTGGCGCAGGCATTTGTGGTCGGTTTCCTCTGTGTTCAGGGTGCTCTTGCATCTCAGATGTAAATTTGACACAGTAAAGTACTGATTTATCATAGTTTCTACATTAGAGGTTATCATTTCCACATGGACTTGCGAGGGCGCAGGTGGTCCCTCATCCTCCTCTTCAGGTTCTGCGCTGCTGCTGGCATCCGCAGTCACTTCACCCTCCACCTCCTCTTCAGTGCCAGGGAGGAGGTTAAACGCCTTGATCATGTTGCTGGCACTGTCAGTGATGACCCGAATCACACGTCGTTGCACGTTCCAATATTTAAGTACACTTTCATACTTTTGGTAAATACGATCTGCGGTATGGTGCCCCTGTATGTGCTCACAGCCCAACAAAACCGTGTGCCCCCGGAACGTCCCATCAATGAAACTGGCCACGATGCCAAGGAAGCTGTGCCCTCTTCTACTGGTCCAAATGTCCGCTGACAGAACGAGCCCATCACCATTTTGCAGTAGGTCTTGCAGTTTGGCTTCCATCAGTGAAGAAACTTTTGAATTCCTCAACCCTTTTCTCTTGTTGCTGCTGCTGCTCCTCTCGCTCTATAAAATACAAATTCATGGACGACACAAATTAAATTAAACAGATGGATTCTGGGTCAGGCTTGAGCATGCTTCAGACTCGTGGTGTGAGCGAGGGAAATTGGAGTGGGACATAGGGCGACGCTCCGTCCTTTTAAAAATGCAGCTCTGCGCTCTGTCCAAAATCCCGCTCTGCGCTCCACGCTCGCTCCCGCTCCACTCCGCTCACATGCTCTGATATGTGATAGAACTTAGGTAGCCTTTCTCTCAAATTTGCTTTGTTAAAATCCCCAGCTACAATAAATGCAGCCTCAGGATATATGGTTTCCAGTTTGCATAATGTCCAGTGAAGATCCTTGAGGGCCGTCATGGTATCGGCTTGAGGGGGGATATACACGGCTGTAACAATAACCGAAGAGAATTCTCTTGGGAGATAATACGGTCGGCATTTGATTGTAAGGAATTCTTGGTCAGGTGAACAAAATGACTTGAGTTCCTGTATGTTGTTACAATTACACCATGAGTCGTTAATCATGAAACATACCCCCCCACCCTTCTTCTTCCCGGAGAGATGTTTATTCCTGTCGGCGCGATGTACTGAGAACCCAGATGGCTGTATGGACGGGGACAGTATATCCCGAGAGAGCCATGTTTCCGCGAAACAGAGTATGTTACAATCCCTGATGTCTCTCTGGAAACCAACCCTTGCCCTGATCTCGTCCACTTTGTTGTCTAGGGACTGGACATTAGTGAGTAATATACTTGGAAGCGATGGGTGGTGTGCCCCCCTCCTAAGTCTGACTAGGAGACCGCTCCGGCTCCCTCTCCTCCTCCGCCGGCGTTGTTTTGGGTCGGCCTCTGGTACAATGAGGGAAAAAAGTATTAGATCCCCTGCTGATTTTGTACGTTTGCCCACTGACAAAGAAATGAGCGGTCTATAATTTTAATGGTAGGTTTATTTGAACAGTGAGAGACAGAATATCAACAAAATAATCCAGAAAAACGCATGTCAAAAATGTTATAAATTGATTTGCATTTTAATGAGGGAAATAAGTATTTGACCCCCTCTCAATCAGAAAGATTTCTGGCTCCCAGGTGTCTTTTATACAGGTAACGAGCTGAGATTAGGAGCACACTCTTAAAGGGAGTGCTCCTAATGTCAACTTGTTACCTGTATAAAAGACACCTGTCCACAGAAGCAATCAATCAATCAGATTCCAAACTCTCCACCATGGCCAAGACCAAAGAGCTCTCCAAGGATGTCAAGAACAAGATTGTAGACCTACACAAGGCTGGAATGGGCTACAAGACCATCGCCAAGCAGCTTGGTGAGAAGGTGACAACAGTTGGTGCGATTATTCACAAATGGAAGAAACACAAAAGAACTGTCAATCTCCCTCGGCCTGGGGCTCCATGCAAGATCTCACCTCGTGGAGTTGCAATGATCATGAGAACGGTGAGGAATCATACCAAAACTACACGGGAGGATCTTGTCAATGATCTCAAGGCAGCTGGGACCATAGTCACCAAGAAAACAATTGGTAACACACTACGCCGTGAAAGACTGAAATCCGGCAGCGCCCGCAAGGTCCCCCTGCTCAAGAAAGCACATATACATGCCCGTCTGAAGTTTGCAAATGAACATTTGAATGATTCAGAGGAGAACTTGGTGAAAGTGTTGTGGTCAGATGAGACCAAAATCGAGCTCTTTGGCATCAACTCAACTCGCCGTGTTTGGAGGAGGAGGAATGCTGCCTATGACCCCAAGAACACCATCCCCACCGTCAAACATGGAGTTGGAAACATTATGCTTTGGGGGTATTTTTCTGCTAAGGTGACAGGACAACTTCACCGCATCAAAGGGACGATGGACGGGGCCATGTACCGTCAAATCATGGGTGAGAACCTCCTTCCCTCAGCCGGGGCATTGAAAATGGGTCGTGGATGGGTATTCCAGCATGACAGTGACCCAAAACACACGGCCAAGGCAACAAAGGAGTGGCTCAAGAAGAAGGACATTAAGGTCCTGGAGTGGCCTAGCCAGTCTCCAGACCTTAATCCCATAGAAAATCTGTGGAGGGAGCTGAAGGTTCGAGTTGCCAAACGTCAGCCTCGAAACCTTAATGACTTGGAAAAGATCTGCAAAGAGGAGTGGGACAAAATCCCTCCTGAGATGTGTGCAAACCTGGTGGCCAACTACAAGAAACGTCTGACCTCTGTGATTGCCAACAAGGGTTTTGCCACCAAGTACTAAGTCATGTTTTGCAGAGGGGTCAAATACTTATTTCCCTCATTAAAATGCAAATCAATGTATAAAATTTTTGACATGCGTTTTTCTGGATTTTTTTGTTGTTATTCTGTCTCTCACTGTTCAAATAAACCTACCATTAAAATTATAGACTGATAATTTCTTTGTCTGTGTGCAAACGTACGGAATCAGCAGGGGATCAAATACTTTTTTCCCTCACTGTATCAGTTCAAATGCCCTGGGTGGTGCGGACAAAGGATCCGCTTCGAGTAGAGGGAGAGAGAGATGGACGTCACCAGTGGTACAGTCTGCCTGAGACCCAGGAGCTCAACTTTATCTGCAGCACCTCTGACAGGTAGTAGAATCTGGACCCAGCTCTAGCACTGTGGCATTCTCAGACACAGATGAAGCCTATTCCTGGACTAAAAAGCAGAGAAGAGAAAAGTGTTACAGTATCCCTCTGCCGAGGGCACTGTGGGACTAATTTATAGCGGGTGTGTTGTTGTTTATGTCTGGCTGGCGCTGCATAGTCTAGCCTCACATGAGAGATAGATTACCTCCAGCTCGTGGCTTCAGCCAATCAGACTGTCCCCATGCACCCCACACTCTGCCCATGCACTGATGACCGGAAGCCAGCCGCACCAATGTGTTGGAGGAAACACTGGTGACCGAGTCAGCGTGCACTGCACCCGGCCCGCCACAGGAGTCGCTAGTGCACGATGGGTCAAGAACATCCCTGCCGGCCAAACCCTCCCCTACCCTGGACGACGCTGGGCCAATTGCACGCCACCCCATGGGTCTCCCAGTCTGGACTCGAACCAGGATCTCTAGTGGCACAGCTAGCACTGCGATGCAGTGCCTTAGACCACTGCGCCACTCGGGCGGCTCCTAGCAAATAGTTAGTTGAGAGCATCTACAGATGGACTGTCACGACTTCCTCCGAAGCTGGACAACTATGGGAAGTTCGCCCGATGTTCGTTACAGCCCTTACCAGTTCCACAACGGCCATGGTCCCACCTGTGTATTGACTTTCTCACTGATCTTCCCCTCTCTCAGGGTAACACCACCATCCTGGTCATTGTGGACCGCTTTTCAAAAGCCTGCTGACTCCTTCCTCTGCCCGGTCTCCCCACGGCCCTGCAGACTGCGGAGGCCCTGTTTACTCACGTCTTCCAGCACTACGGGGTGCCAGAGGACATAGTGTCTGACCGGGGTCCCCAGTTTACATCCAGGGTCTGGAAGGCGTTCATGGAACATCTGGGGGTCTCGGTCAGCCTGACCTCTGGGTTTCACCCCAAGAGTATTGGGCAGGTGGAACGGGTGAATCAGGATGTGGGTAGGTTCCTGAGGTCCTACTGCCAGGACTGGCGAGGGGAGTGGTCGGTGTTCTTGCCATGGGACGAATATGCCCAGAACTCTCTCTGCCACTCCTCCACTAACCTATCGTCATTTCAATGTGTTTTAGGTTATCAACCGGTCACGACTTCCTCCGAAGATGCCTCCTCTCCTTGTTCGGGCAGGCTTCGGCGTTTGTCGTGACCTGCCTTCTAGCCACTGCCGCTCCTCATCTCATCATTCCATTTGTTTTGTCTTGTTTATTACACACACCTGGTTTATTTCCACTCATCAGTACCTGAATAAGTGTTCCCTCTGCCCCGTTGTCTTTGTGTGTGATTGTTTATTGTGGAGGTTAGAGAAGCTCGGTGGAGCTCCTTGTATTTTGTATCGCTGGGATATTTCCCTGTGTGCCTTGTTTTTTCCAGTGCGCCTGTTTTGCACACTGGAGTGTTTTGACACATTACTGCGTAACTCTGTTTTCTGTGATTTACCCTCCTGCGCCTGACTCCTTCGAAATCACTCATCACATGGACGACCCAAATAGTGTTACTCACGCGGTATTTGGAGGTTGGATGTAATATTCACCTGATTTATAAAAAGTATTGTCTGTGATTCATCTGCGACATGAGGGTGCTGTTCAGAATTTTAAATTTAGGCGACAGATGAAAAGTATCTGATTTTTTTATTCCCCTTCTGTCACTGTTGTAATATTCTATGTAGGCATATTCAATCACAGCTGGTTTGTTATTGGGTGAGGCATGCCAACATTGTTGTTCTGAAAACTTTTCAGGTACAACCCCGGGGTCAGATTGATGGGTATGCCATAACCTTTCTGGATTGTTCCGGCAGAGAATAAGCATGACAATAGACTTGTTTATGCTCATACTTTACGTATGCCAACCTCACTTACATTCAATGGGATTTGTAAAAGGTATTCATTGGACCCAGCTGTTCGTGATGATCTTAAATATTACAGACAGGTTCTACATGCAGCTTTGTGATTAATGTTCTAGGTGCCACTTTGTATATACTGTATATGCCGAGTGATAACTTGTACATTGAGGCAATGGCTACTATGACCAAGCACACACACAACCCCATCCTCACACACACACACACACACACAACCCCCTTTCCCCCCACCCCCCTTCCCCACACACACTTGTAGTTTTCCTGGTGGTCAAATGAGGAGGTGGCTCATCAAGCCAGTGCCACCAACCAGTGTGAGCTCCTCCAGCAGAGTCAAGTATAGGAACAGTTACAGGGCATAAGGAGTTTATTTTAAGCCTTGGCAGATTTATGCACTGTCTGCCTTGTGCAGGCATATTTTACTCACCTCTGTTCAAGTGGCTTATCCAAGCTGTCCTGCTGACTATTCATTTGCTTGATGGGAGGGAGCGCTCTACTCTGCCTTTTAACTGGGGATGTTCTGCTCCTGTTATTCTCCTGCTTAGAGGCCTATATCGCTTCTTGATTTTAAACTATAGGGTCACACATTTGCAAGGGCATACACAGTATAGATTCTCTCTCTCTCTCTTTCTCTCTCTCTCTCCCTTATTACTTACCTAATGGTGTGGAATATTGCCGATATGAGGAGTTCATTGTATATGGCAACAGTCATGTAGCGTGGTTCATGGAAGGCTGACGGTACGGTCCGGACAGCATAGCAGAGGTACACTCCCCACAGAAGAAACAGGAACTCGGCTAGATAAGGAGAGGTCAACAATACAGGTGGGTTAGACCAGTGTCCTTAACTCTCACACACAAATAGCAGAGGTACACAACATACAATGACTGCAAATTAAAATGATATTCTGGAAGTTCTGCATTATTTACAACAACCATTGTTTGCTTTGGTTTGCACAAAATGGCATACATGTAACTTGTTCTTTAGCCATACAATTCAAGGGTCTCCTCATGATCGTGTAACCGACAATTATGGACAATAACCGTGAACAAAATAAAATAAAAGAATACATTAATTTTAGGAGATGGAAGGATTCAACTTTATATTTAAATAGATATAGTTTACTCAATAGCAGTTTCTCATTTTGAGATGAAGTGGGTAAAATTGGTAATAATTTTATGAGCCGAACGGCATGGTCGGAAGGAGAAGAGGTCGGAAATTCAAAACCACTTGTTTTTGAGACAGTTGTGTCACCAAAGCTGTGTTGTATTCATTAGCTAATTTTGAAAGATGCATTATGATACATTACAAGCTGAAAAAAAAAGGCCATTTGCATGACAATCAATCGTTACCCAAAATTCCATAATCGTCACAGCCCTATCCTCATGTCCACTTCAAAGAATACGAAAAAACATCCAAGTCTGTTTTGAAAAGGCAGCCTTGAATTTGTGATGTTCTTAAAACCTGTTATATCTTCACTTTAATTGTATCATTAATCCATCAGAAGTGACAATTGTGCTATATTTAATACTAAAAAACGAGACACAATCCAAAAATCCTTTCCTCAAGTTTATTTTGTTTTATTTCAAATAAAGTTCTCAGAACTGGTCTCAGAACTGGCCTCAGAACTATAAGGCAGTCCAAGTCTCTCGTCTCTCCTTTATTCTATGTTTTTAGAACTGTTCTCAGAACTGCTCAAAACTGTTAAAAAAGATATCTGTTGCATGCCCAAATGAATGCGACCCACTTTTCAGAACTGTTTCAGGACTGACTCACTGTTATTTGGGAGCCCATAACGGTGATCCTAATTTATATTCCTTTTCTAAGAACTGTTCTCAGAACTGTAAAGCAGTCTGAGTCTCTCATCTTTCCTTTGTTCTACGTTCTCAGAACTGCTTTCTATTGTCTGCCCATAAAAGCAACCCTCATTTACATTCCTTCAATAATTAACACCAAAGACAACGGGGATCATGGGGATCATGTCGGTTTCCGGATTGTCATTTGTAAATAGCGATTAGAGTGTATTATTATGAATTAATATTTTGTGAATCACGATGACTAATTATAAACTATTTAATATGTAATCAGTATGCATGGTGAGCTGTTTGTAAATGCTGGTGGGAGGAATAAGTAATTTCTTATTAATTCCAATTACTGACATGATCAACACTCTTTTTCATTAACTGATAAATCATTTGTATCATCATTATTATAGAACCACAAAACAATACTGATTAATAATTGTATGTTCTCTTTTTAAATTATTTTGCTGTACAGCACCTTAAACCTGATAGCACCTTAGACTGGTGGATATCGCCCTTCAGCCCACACGTTTCCACAAGCTGTCAGAACAACCAGCGGGGCGGCTGCCCCCCTACCCCAGACCGATCTCTCCTCTTCACCATTTCTATTTACAGGCACTCTACCTGTCTCTGCCTTCCCTGCGAAGATGCACAATGTTCTTTTGCCTTACTGTATCTCAACAACCCCACCCCCCTATGTTTTTCCATTCCATTTTACCTCCCCAAACCCATTGGTGAAAACACTCTCCGCATCACTGCCCAGATCTCTCTCAGGGTCCTCAGGCAGAGCACACAACTTCTCATGGATCCATCCGCTTTAAAAGGGATTAGATGATAGGTTCTGTGCCTCAGCTGCCTGTCACATTCCCCTCTAGAAGGCACTCGGAAATGCTTATGTTCCAACAGTGTAGTAATACCTAACAATACAAAACAATACACATTAATCCCAAAGATAAAAAAGAAAGGAATAAAGAAATATAGAAATATTAGAACGAGCAATATCAGAGTCCAGGATATAGATATATACTGAACAAAAATATAAATGCAACATGCAACAATTTAGAAGATTTTACTGAGTTATAGTTCATATAAGGAAATCAGTCAGTTGAAATGAATAAATTAGGCCCTAATCTATGGATTTCACATGACTGGGCAGGGGTGCAGACATAGGCCCACCCACTTGGCAGCCAGGCCCACCCAATCAGAATGAGTTTTTCCCCACAAAAGGGTTTCATTACATACAGAAATACTCCTCAGAAAACCCCCCACTCCCCCTCAGACGATCCCACAGGTGATCGTCTGAGAAGCCGGATTTGGAGGTCCTGGGCTGGTGTGGTTACACGTGGTCTGCGGTTGTGAGGCCGGTTGGACGTACTGCCAAATTCTCTAAAACAACGTTTCTTATGGTAGAGAAATTAACATTCAATTCGAACAGCTCTGGTGGACATTCCTGCAGTCAGCATGCCAATTGCACACTCCCTCAAAACTTGAGACATCTGTGGCTTTGTGTTGTGTGACAAACTGCACATTTTAGTGGCCTTTTATTGTCTCCAGCACAAGGTGCACCTGTGTAATGATCATGCTGTTTAATCAGCATCTTGATATGCCACACCTGTCAGGTGGATGGATTATCTTGGCAAAGGAGAAATGCTCAATAAGAGGGATATAAACAAATTTGTGGACACCATTTTTCGAGAAATTAGCTCTTTGTGCATATGGAACATTTCTGAGATGTTTTATTTCAGCTCATGAAACATGGGACCAACACTTTGCATGTTGCGTTTATATTTTTGTTCAGTGTATGTATGTGATGGTGTGTATAAACAGTATGGACAGTATATGAATAGAAAAGGTGCATAGAGCAGTAGTTATATAAGATGAGTGTCACGCGACGTGTATGCGGTCAGCGAAGTCAAACGCAGGACACAGAGCGGCTGGCAACGTACTTTACTGAACACAGTAATAAACGTTCAAAACAACAAACCTCCAAACAGGGAGGAAAACACAAATACCCGTAATACAAAGCAACTGCCGAAATGACAAAGAACAATCACACACAAAATAACCAATGAGAGACAGGGGTTAATATAGGGAATACAATCCAACATAATGGGAAACAGGTGTAAACAATAAAGACCAAACAAGACAAACACCGAAACATCGATCGGCAGCAGCTAGTACTCCGGGGACGACGAACGCCGAAGCCTGCCCGAGCAAGGAGGAGCAGCAGCCTCGGCTGAATCCGTGACAATGAGCCTTGACTAGAATACAGTATATATTGTACATGTAAAGTGGGTTAAACAGTATGTAAACATTATTAAAGTGACCAGTGTTCAATGGCTATGTACTGTACATAGGGCAGCAGTCTCTAAGGTAGAGTACCGGGTGGTAGCCGACTAGTAACAGTGACTAAAGTTCAGGGCAGGGTACTGGGTGCTATTATAAAACCAAGATAATGAGAACGACAATTGGCGTAACCCGTTACAAACATAAAACGGAACGTCACAATGACATATTTCCAACCAGTTTTTAGCGTTAATGACATCATTTCAACTAGTTTTGCCCACTGGGTCCACACTTCCATTACGACTCACCGACTGCCATCATGTAGTCCCAGCGGTCCAGCAGGCACATGCTGAACTGCAGCCCGTCGGGGGTGAGGCCCATGTCAATAAGGGCCAACATCCGGTCAGGTGTCTGACACACGGCCGAGGTCCAGGCCACCAGGAACCACAGCACCACCAGCAGGATGACCCCCAGCAGACGCAGCACCCGCCAGCTGGTCATGTATGGGGTCCTTTGGGCCGTACGGGACAGGAACACCTTCAGCACCCTGGAGGAGGGAAGAGAGAGAAGGGTTGTTGTTGTTCCCAAATCCCAACAGGCAAAATTTGGCATCTAATGGCATAATTTTATGGTTTTATGGTTCTCGTTGAGAAAACCTTTAATTCGATTATAACCAACAGGTCTCTGTTATAATCAGGTAAAGATATCATTATTTATTTGACTAATTATTTAACTGACACAACTAACACTTCTTCTACTCAGCTGTATTACCACCACTACCATCCCAACATTACTCCTTCCACCACTGCAATTTATATCGTTTTTCAGTTATTACTTGTTCTATACTACCTGTACTGCTGCAAGCCCTTGCAAGCACTAGTGTCTCTCTGAGATGTGTGGTCTAGATTAGCATAGATATAAAACAAGGAGATATTTTGACCTCTGGGTTCTCTGAGGGTACGACCATGATTGATCCTGTCTCAGATTTGATATCTGTGTGTGGGATTCTCCTATAGGGTACTGACACTGAGGTCATGGTTCAAGCGTTCTACACCAGGAGGAATTTAATTGGTAATTTTGTCAGGTGAAGTAGCAGGCTGCCCTTTGGCCCCTGGTCAGATTGAGTTGTTTCTCTGCTCTCTTAGTGAAATTTTAAAAGGCCAACACGAGGGCCAACTCATTTCCAGAAGAGGAGAGTGGAGAAAACTCTATGCTACGGTAAGTAGTTCTGTGTGATTGAGAATGTAAAGTGCTCCTTCTGCCTCTAAGTCCTCTCGCTTCGACTACTAAGTAGCAAAACAGAACGACTGCAAACTAGAACCAATTCTGAGAGGAACCTGGATATGAGATGGCACTCCACAGGGCAAACTCATCAAGGAGCATCATTGGGACAAATCGGGGGGAGAAAGGAATTAAAGTTCTGGGCTGAATACTGCAGAAGTTATCCAATTTGGCCATATGGCATTGGTTTCTCTGCATGATACATCTGGGGTGTATTCACTAGGAACGGGCAAAATGGAGCGGGACCTACCTGAATATGCAGTTGCAAAACGTTTGCTACGTTGCAAAACGTTTTGTTACTGTGTGTACATTTGAATATACCCCTGTGAAAGACTTCTAATAAAAAGTAGAACGAATGAACACATACCTGTAAAGCTTCAGGATCACTGTTCCGTAGGCTATGGCAAAGCCCAGGAGACGCACCCATCTCAGGAGGATACAGCGGAACATGCTGGGGTTGAAGTACAGTATCATCACCTAAAGAGAAGGGGAGATGCACATTACTTTGACTATATTTTACATTATTTTTTATTTAAAAAAAGAGTGAGGTACTTCCACTCCTTTTGTATTCTTCCTGTTTATAAGACAGGGAGGTGAAAAAGCAAGGAGGCGTGTGTGCTAGAGCAGTGGATTGGATTCAAACCCATGCCTACAGCGGTACATAGCAACAGCATAGACATGCTGGACCACCCCAGGCCACAACTTGAATTTACTTTATAACTGTAGGTTTATTTGACAGGGAAAATGCACATGAATCAGCTTTTTTGTAAAGGTGACAGATTTTGTGCCAGCGAGCTAATTTTCAACTGAAGTCCCTAGGCAGGTAAAAGGACTACACATCAATGAGGCATCAGGCACTCCCATTTATCTTTCTGCATTGCTGACACAACTTCACCTTTTGTTAATAGTCAAACCCAGTAGCAGAAGAACATTGGGTAAATGTCTGACCGTGGGCCAGGCTGGCTGCCTCCTACCCTTCACGTCGTCTCATTTTCTGGATGTCGTCTAGATGGTGAGTCACAGGCAGCTGCTTGGAAAATATTGCCCTGCCGTTAGCTTCGTGTGAAGTTCATTCTAGCTCATTATTGAAAGAGGCAAGGGGCCGAGCCGGGATGGAGGCATGAGGTCATGCATGGTAAACTGAACAAAGGGCAATGCTTGATTGCGAGGTTTCTGTATGCTGACTCACTTATTTCATTATATATTTCAGCAGCTGCAGAATCGCAAATGTCACATCTGAAGCGACTAAAATGGAGTTGAGTTATAAAACTATCCTGAATACACGATATAACTATTATGTCAACCACACAACCAGTTTGTCAGCCAATTTAGTAATGTCCTTCTCAAGAGCTAGTCTACATATTTGAGAATGTTCAAGTTGAGCTGTTGTCCCAGCTCCACAGACTAAACTGCTTTGCTGGCTTTTAGCAAAAGAACAAACAGCACCAGGTTTTAGACTCTTCCACGATTCTCACAACCTATCCCTGCAAATAAGTGTGATAGCCATCCCGATCCCATTTCCTTTGGGAAACCATCTTGTTTACATACTGTATTTACTCTACAAACCAGACCTGCGTTCAAATAGTATGGCACAATGGAACCAATGGAATAGTACCAAAGGCGAAAACCCCACCCATCTGGCCCTCCAGGTCAGCTAAATCAAAACGCTCAAAGCATTTGAAAGGCAACAAATACCATTTTGAATCCAGGTCTAGTACAACCTTCGCATATCCACAGCTATACAATATAGCTCACAGAGATACAGTTTTATCTAATCTCTGTGGTATATCTCACAATTCGAGGTATACAGTGTGTCAGTTTGAGAGATGGCAGGCATCCTCTATAATTAAGCAGAGCGACAGCACCTGTCCCCTGCGGCGAGATGGCAGAACATCGGCAACCAGCCCGCTTAACTCGCAAACAGGGGAAATGTTCTCGTGGATATGGAATGAAACAATGGCACAGTGCCACACGCAAACCCGTGAAGAACATATCACACTTCCATGATGTGAGAGGAGGCCTCATTTAGCTGCAGAATTCACTGGAAGAAAATGTTGGTAAAACTTTACCTGAAAGGTACCTAGGTAAGGACTTCATAACACATTCATAACCCATACATACTACATTCATAAGCTGTACATAAGGACACTTTCATGATGATATGAGAAGCTTTAGATGCAGTTTTAACTGGTGGGAGGTTGGAAAATGTTGGAAACACTTTTCTTGAAGGTTACCTGCATAAGGACTTCCGAACACATTATTAAGCCATCCACAGGCCCTTCATAAGCAGTACATCTAGGCATTTCATAGATGCTTATGTCAACAAGTTGCCTGCATTCTTAATCCTTTACCCAAAGTTTTGCCTATATCAAACACTGTCAATAGAACATTTGTGCAAAGCTTTGATTTATGGTCCCGTGTAGCTCAGTTGGTAGAGCATGGCGTTTGCAACGCCAGGGTTGTGGGTTCGATTCCCACGGGGAGCCAGTATGAAAATGTATGCACTCACTAACTGTAAGTCGCTCTGGATAAGAGCGTCTGCTAAATGACTAGAATGTAAATGTACATTTACGCACTCATCTCGCAGACAGGGGATAGCGAAATAGGTACACCTACAGTCTATGGATTTAAATGCATGTGCGTAATGTAGGAAAGATCCACAATTACTACTAGTATACCCTAATTGCATCCACTTGTCATGGCCGAAAGCAACACAAGAGATCTTTCGTAAGTGTATGTTCCTCCAGGAACAAAAAAGCAAGTAAGTAAGTTTAACCTAATTGTCCGATGCATTTATATCCCATACATTAAGAAGTAATGCTATCGATATCTTTTCATCATGGGCTCTCAGTTTTCCTTCCATCAAAAATAGGCTCTCGCTTCATGCATCATGACTGTAAATGTGATTGAGGGAATCAAGGAATTTCTGCACTCAGCTGACATGTATTTCTGGCTGCAAGCTGGCCTTAAAAGTTCCAAAGCTTGTCATTTGTATGCGAGTCATGAAAAACGTATATAAAGCCCCGTCCATATTACCCGGTGGAGGGCTTATGGCGGTGATGCTATCGGTAAAGTAAATGAAAAAGTAAATGCCTCTGGTTGGTACACAGGCAAGAGACAGACTCCTGTATATCATACATGCATTACCACGTTGGTTTCCTTCAAAGTTACTTGTATTATCTTAATGTACAGTAGTATCTGGGGCTAGAGACAGGAATGTTGTGAGTTTGTTTGAGGAGCGAAATGTAACGGTGTACAGAGCGTGCACACACACGCACATACTCACGGACACACACACACACAGCACACACACCCAACAGCGACATCACAACAACACTCCAATGACAACAATAGGATTTATAATGTATACCCCCCAAACATAGCCATAGCAGTTACATACTCATTAACTGCATTTGATCATGTTCTTCATAAACTGACCCACTCACTGTACTGATAACCTCTGGCTAGTATTAGTTGTATCCAGGCCTCTGTAGTAACCAAGCCCTGTCCATGTAGAACAGCAAGCCCCACATTCCTCCACGACAGGCCAAAATACATCGCGTCCCAAACGAGACGTAAAACTAGGCCAAACACACGCAAACACACACACGCAATAGCACACACACGCAATACCCAGCAGAGTACAACTCGCATGGGACCCTCAAACGAGCGAAAGAGAAGGAAGCTACATGTTTGTTTCCAGCCTGCTAAGGTGGCTCCCTCTTCTTTCCCTTCTCTATACCCCCAACTCCTCCCAATAAATTAACCAGCAGATTCATTTTTAATACAAGTTGCGCTAGAACTTGATGGACTCTTTAAAAATGCATCGAGCGCCACAGTGGAGAAGCTGCACTAAGCTGAGGCTGTGGCAACAGCAGCAGGAGGAGAAGGGCACGTCACTGTGGAAGAGAGAGAGGGGGAGAAAGAGAGTGAGAGAGGGATAGCCAGGGTTGCATGAGCACACCGGAGTGAGGAGTTCCTGGGTCCTGTGGCAGAAGGGATGAAAAGGGGAAGGGATATTTCGGGGGGATGGGAGTCCAGGAATAGCCCAAGGTGCAGGAACATTGAGGACTGGAATGGTGCACTCCTGGTTTAAAAGTATATCACAATGATAATGATGTCAACCAAACCGAAGTAGTATTGTTGATAGGCTTAGGTTTATCTCCCCATTTGTGTGGAATGCACCAAAATGATGTCCAGTAAGAAAAAAAAAACATGGTGAGGTCTCCCAGTGCATTACGTGGTTACTATGTAACATTGTTACAATATAACGTTGTTACCATGTTGTCACTATGTTACATTGTTCCCACGTTACGTTGTTACTACATTACGTTATTATAAAGTTGTGTTATTACTAAGTTACGTTGTTACTAAGTTACGTAAATACTACATTGCTACAATGACATTGCTCCAACTCTAGCCTGAGAGGAAAAGCCTAATCGCTAGAGCTCACTTTAGCAAACAACACCGAACCTCATCCTTGTCAACAGACTTCTAATAGTCCCTCCTGTGTGGTTTACATCTATGGCTGTTTTCCTTCTTTCTTTGATCCTTTTCCAAATGTGTTCTCTAGACAGCTGTGTTTTGCTGTTGGCAGCCAATGGAGGTATTGAGTGAATTTGAAATCCCTGTCGCTCCATAATAACGCCATGCAACGTTGGCTGTAAGCTCCCCCGTCTGTTAAAACTCTGTGTGGCGCTCCAGGTTGGACTGTACGACACACTTTAAAGCATTACTCACACACACCAGCTGTGTTGTCGTCCAGGATGTCTGTAGCTTGTTTTTTGTGCCATTTTAATATATAGCTGTAATATATAGCTGTGGACAATGGACAGGCATGCAGACAGACACACACAAAGTCCTGCACACACACACACACACAATCACGCACACACACACACAGTCACGGACACACACACAAACACACGTCTAAACTGGAGACTTACGGGAAAGTAGAGAAGCAAGGCTCCAAACAAGATGGCCTCCAGGAGGATAAGACCAGACGCTCGGATCCTCTACAAAAAAAAATGAGAAAGAGAGAGACTTAACAATAGAGAACATACACTATACATACAAAAGTATGTGGACACACCTTCAAATGAGTGGATTCAGCTATTTCAACAACACCCGTTGCTGACCGGCATATAAAATCGAGCACTCAGCCATGCAATCTCCATAGACAAACATTCACAGTATAATGGCCCGTACTGAAGAACTCAGTGACTTTCAACGTGGCACCGTCATAGGATGCCACCTTTCCAACAAGTCAGTTTGTCAAATTTCTGCCCTGCTATAGTGAAGTGGAAATGTCTATGAACAACAACGGCTCTGCCACGAAGTGGTAGGCCACACAAGCTCACAGAACGGGACTGCCAAGTGCTGAAGTGCGTAGCGCATAAAAATCGTCTGTCCTTGGGTTGCAACACTCACTACTGAGTTCCAAACTGCCTCTGGAAGCAAAGTCAGCACAAGAACTGTTTGTCGGAAGCTTAATGAAATGGGTTTCCATTGCCAAGCAGCTGCACACAAGCCTAAGATCACCATGCACAATGCCAAGCGTCGGCTGGAGTGGTGTAAAGCTCGCTGCTATTGTCCTCTGGAGCAGCGAAAACGCATTCTCTGGAGTGATGAATCACGCTTCACCATCTGGCAGTCCGATGGACGAATCTGGGTTTGGCAGATGCCAGGAAAACACTACCTGCCCGAATGCATATTGCCAACTGTAAAGTTTGGTGGAGGAGGAATAATAGTATGGGGCTGTTTTTTCCTTAGTTCCAGTGAAGAGAAATCTTAACGCTACAGCATACAATGACATTCTAGACGATTCTGTACTTCCAACTTTGTGGCAACAGTTTGGGGAAGGCCCTTTCCTGTATCAGCATGACAATGCCCATGTGCACAAAGCGAGATCCATACAAAAATGGTTTGTTGAGATCGATGTGGAAGAACTTGACTGGCCTGCACAGAGCCCTGACCTCAACTCCATCAAACACCTTTGGGATGAATTGGAACGCCGAGTGCGAGCCAGGCCTAATTGCCCAACATCAGTGCCCGACCTCACTAATGCTCGTGTGGCTGAATGGAAGCAAGTCCCTGCAGCAATGTTGCAACATGTAGTGGAAAGCTTTCCCAGAAGAGTGGAGGCTGTTATAGCAGCAAAGGGGGGACCAACTCCATATTAATGCCCATGATTTTGGAATGAGATGTTCGACAAGCAGGTGTCCACATACTTTTGGCCATGTAGTGTAACATCAATCAACCATAGAGTTATTAGGATGATCTACACAATCATATGAGAGAAATTGTCATCCATTCACTCATAATGTATCTACTCAGCTGAAAATAAATAATGAATTTGACTCAATGGCACAACACAATGGATATGAATGAGGAAGATGGTCCCTTTGTTGAACTGCTCTGCTAACCAATCATGTTAGTGAAAACGAGTGAGGATGGCGAGACAACTCTGGGCTGAATGTAATTACTCATTATATCATAGAAGGCAATGTCTTTTATGTAAATATGTAAATTCACACACCTCAAGGGACATCTCATCTGAACTGTATTTCTGGAAGATTCTTATAGGGAACAACCCAAGCTGCTATAAATATGACTAATCAGTTTCACACCACAAGTACAGAACGACCACCACAGTAGAGGCAGTTAGCTCATATTTTGGAACACCATTTACCGGTATGTTTAGTCTTAATGGGACATTACACTCCAAAATCAATGAGTCCACATCCCTTGCCATAGGTTATATAGATCCAGCTATATTGTCTGCCTCAACCCAGAAGGAATGGAAAAGATAAGCACTGCAAATCTGGAAATGACATATTTTCCATAAATGTTGGATCGTGGCATATACTGTAGCTGGATATACAAAACAGATGGCCTGGGATGTGTGGACTCATCTTGACATTAGACATCATCTTGACATTAGACTGCTTCTAATAATTGAGATCGGAAAACATCTGAGTGTAATGTCACCATCTTGGAATATCATATACAGGTTTGTTTAACCCTGTCCTATAGTGTGTCAATAACCATCACTGCTGTGGAATACGTACTGCAAAAGGTGCCCTTCTTAGGATGATACATGAAACAGAGTTCTTGACTATGTGGTCGCTAAAAATCCCATGACACTTAGTGCTTGATTATGGCTGTTAACCCCAGTGTTCTGGCTATACTCACCCTGGCCCCTCACACTATCATGGCCATCTATAATCATCGGATCCCCAGATTCAAATTGGCCCAATCACTCATCACCTCTCCACTGTGAAAGTGGATTCCGTGTGATGAACATTCTGGCACAAAATGGCTACCATACATCACCCACGTGGATGCTACTACAAATTGGTGTTGGATGAAATAATGAGTCACTCCAGATCAAGGTAAAGTGCTTTGAGATCTGATGAAAAGCACTATGTCAATGGAATCCATTATTACAACAGAAGACCGTCAAATGTTCCCAGGAACTCTAAGGCTACCTGTCACAATGACTACCGACCTGTAGCACTCACATCTGTAATCATGAAGTGCATTGAAAGGCTGGTTATGGCACACAACTCCATCATCCCAAACATCCTAGACACACTCCAATTTGAATACCGCCCCAACAGATCTACAGATGATGCAATCTCAATTGCACTCCACACCGCCCTCTCCCACCTGGACAAGAGGAATACATATGTAAGAATGATTGCTGTCTATTGACTACGGCTCAGCGTTCAACACCATAGTTCCCTCCAAGCTCGTCACCAAGCTTAGGACCCTGGGACTGAACACCTCCCTCTGTAACTGTATCCTGAACTTCCTGACGGGCTGACCCCAGGTGGTGAGAGTAGGTAACAACACCTCCGCCACGCTGACCCTCAACACAGGGGCCCCCAGAGGTGTGTGCTTAGCCCCCTCCTGTACTCCCTGTTTACCCACGACTGTGTGACCACGGACGACTCCAACTCCATCATCAAGTTTGCTGACGACACGACGGTGGTAGTCATTTGGTAGTCAAATAAACTGCATATTAGGAGTTCTGACACAACACTTGAGTTGCGTCCTAATTCCCTACATAGTGCACTACTTTTGACCAGAGCCATATGGGCCTCGGTCCAAAGTAGTACACTATACATGGAAAAGGGTGCCATTTGGGTAACAACCTTGGACTGGCACAGTGGTACTGTCAGCACTCCCCGCAGCTGTGTTCTTCAATGCAGGTCCTGGAGGATATGAATCAGTAGATATTTTGGTCTCTCTTTCTTACCATTCAAAAAGGGCAATCCAGTAACAGTTTACTGAAATCCAACAGGATTCTGTGTGATGAACATTCTGGCACAAATTGGCTACCATGCATCACCCAGGTGGATGCTACTACAAATTGTATATATCATTTCACCTAAAATGTCTTGAAATCATCTCATAATGATCCTGACTAATTCAATAAAAGCCATTTCAGTACGTTGCAGCATAGAAAAACATTATAAGGGCTAATACAAGCTTATAACAAATAATAAAACATACCAGAAATCCAAATCACAAGTGTAGGAAATACAAACACCAACCAATACCAGTAATACCTTTGTTGAAAAACATAATACCAGTCGTATGTTTTCTGGATGGAGTTCCTCTATAATGACCTGCTTAACCCCTAACCCCTGACCCCTGACCCCTGCTTCCTCCCAATGAGCCCTTACCTTATTCTTGCGGAAGTGGTAGACCAGCACCATGGCCACTAAGTCCAGCAGCATGCAAAGGCCCTGGAAGGAGGCTACAGAAAGCCGGATTGCCCCGTCTTCCTGAGCCAGGCAGGGCATGTCATCCCGGCAGTAGGGGCAGCCCTCACGGCACGGCAGGCACTTACTGGACACATCCGAGGGGTCCTTGCCGTGAGCGTGACCACTGCTCTCTTTCCCTGGAAAGGGCAGATAGACAGAACACCGAGGAGATACAGTGGAGGATGATGTGTCATGGTAGCATTGGGGAGGCAATAACATTGTGTATTTGAGTTACGTTCAAGAAAAGTGTGTTCTCAATGTCGTTCTTTCTGTGTATAATTTATACTGATCCGAGTAAGAGTAGCTGTTTGGGAACAAAATAAACAAACTGCCAATGAGTACAAAAGTACTACAGATGGAAAACAGCTGGTAATAACACGCCTTCCATTTGATCTACAGTGAAACATTCAAGTTAAAACATTTAGAACAACAGGGTGTGTGTGTGTGTGTGTGTAGGGCTGAAGAGATAGCCTTACCAAAAGGAAGTCAACTTCAGTGGAAGACTAATCAAAGAGTGGGTTTTGTAATCATGCTCTCTCTTCAAGACCATGTAAACCCTTCTGTTGGTGTTTCAATGGGTATTGGGTAAGAGCATCACTGAGTCATAACTGCTGTGGCCCTGTATAGGCTCTCTGGATGTGGTTATATCACTAAAGAGAACAGGGGCAGTGGGTTGTATGTCTTCTCGCAATTTGTTGTTCTGATTCATGTGTGAAGAAAGACCAGGGTTGTGTTGAGTGGGGGACACTGAAGCAAAACCTGTTGGGTAACACTTTCCTTAAAGCCTATCCTGCAGCTACTGTTCGTTATAACTTGTTATAAGCATGTATGTATGAGCCTTTATAAAGTCTTATAATAAAGCTTAAAATACTGTATGCTATGTCTTTAGCAATGATTACAAGACATTATAAGGGGGTCATACATGACAAGTCTTACTGTGCATTATAACGGCATCATAACGCATTATAGCCTACTTGCAGGCTTTAAGTTAAGTGTTACCACATGTTGTTGCAATAGATAACAAAAAACTGTGTTCTTATTGGAAGTTCATGTAATACCTCCCTGTTTCATCCTACTGACCACAACCCAGGCCACCAAACCATAACACGCTAAAAAATGGTTTGTTCCCTGTCTTAGACAACAATCAATCATGTGGAGTGGACAAACCACAAAACACCCAGTCACAGTAAAACAGTGCTTCGATTTAGTGAAGTAAAGTGCTGCTGCGTATTTGCAAACAAACAAACACACACACACACACACACACACACAATACATCTCCCAAGGCATACTGTCTGTTAAGAACACAGTTAACAAGCGCAGACTGAGATGACAATGTAGTCCCCAATTAAAGATATGCACACTTTGAATCGACAATAAAAAACTAAACGAGACAAAGAAGTGATAGAGAATTCAGCTGAAATAATCCCTCGCTAAAAAGAGCCTAATTGCTGACAGAGATTCATCAGTCATACTGTTATCATCTTTAAAGCTTGTTATAAAACAGGTTCGGAAAAATCTGCAATCTGATTGGGGGAAATGGGGTTCCAAGCCATTGCCAATGCCCTGTTATCATCACTGTCTGAAGTAGCCTAGTTACTCACTGAATGAGTGGCAGTTTTCAAAATATCAATACGTCAAACTTTGAGCACTGCCCAAAACAAAAAACATGGTGGACAATTTATCTTGCCTCATATCGATAACCAGTAGCAACCACAAACTTCAATGAAGGTTATCTTAAAATTAAGACTAATCTAACATTCCCGCACCGCAATAACATTGTCGCGGAGGTGGACTTGCTAGCTAGCTAGCTACAAGAGTAATCTCAGCCATTTTCTAATAAAACAGCTCAGCTAGCCTATGTGAAGTGCTAGTTCGTGACAACAATAGCTAGCTAACTAGCTAGACGCAGCTAGACTCGTGAGCAGATGGCTACATGAGCCAGCTGGTTAGCTATGATTACACATGTGCAATAACAACTCATGACTAGTTCATTTTCAGACAAATTTGTTCAAGTCATAGATACTTTATCCACTGACCACCAAATTTAGGAGGATAACTGAAAACAAGCGGACAAACAAGAAACGTGGGAGTATTTGATAGCACGTGTCAATACTGCATCACATTTTGTAAACATGGACCTAGTATGCATTTCACTCATCACAAGATCCTGCATAAACAAATGAATGCTAGCTAGCCAAGTTTCCTCTCGTTGGACCTGCTTTTAGAATGTATCCAATTTTGGTTCGTTTGGTTGTTGTTGGTTTAGTTTTCTGTAACTTCATAGCAATAGGCTGCTGCCTGGCCATTGAGCCAGCATGCTTGCTAGCTAAGTGAGCCAACTAATCAGGAATGCATGATCAGCCCAAGAAGCACTACACAAATTGCAGACAATTTGCCCTGCTACTGTGGCTGGTTAGCCACGTAGATAAACAGTCATTGCATTACTGGCTAGGCAGATGGAGTTTGTTCTCATTCCAGCTGTCGAGTCTCTACATGACTCTGCTGTAAGGTTAGGTTGCTAGCTAACGTTACCTAGCAAGTGAAGTGACAAGAACATTAGCCAGCTTGCATAACAACCAACAGAGAGAAAGAGGCAGCACATTTTCCCTGCTAGTACTATATCGCTGGCTAGCCAGGTGGGTATGTCGCAGTTATTGCATTACTACTAAGGCAGACTGAGGCCAATAGTATTGTTCTGTAATCATCGGCAGCCAAAGAACCCTTTTGGAATCCAAAAGGGTTGCTGAACATATTTATGCATGGACACCCTCTTATATGAACTATTTTATATGAGTAAAATGAAGAAAAAACATTGACTAATCAAAGAAATATGAAAGGAAATCTTTTCACTTTTTGTCAGCATCTAAATTCATGGGGTTTGCCATGACTTGGAAGATGAGACCCTCTCATCACCAGTTTTTACTTAATGCTTTATTTCTTTATTGCTTTGATTGTTGCTAGGAAACAACAATAAATGAAATTGGGTTGTGAAGAATAACAGTGGCAGGTCAATTCAGAAGTGGAAATGAGTATCTCTCCTACAATCCAATCTAAGCCCGAGAGATGCATTTTAAATCATTTTTTATGGCGTGTTTGTGGGCTTTTGAAGATTACTTTCACTCCTCGATGCTACTTTCAAGTCTCCCATTGCATTCCAATAAGGCCGTCGCATCCCCAGGGGTGCCGTCTAGGAGATGTTATGAAAAGGAGTGTATACATACTAATACTTTACTCCATATGCCCTGGTTCTAACCTAAGTCTGTGCTTGTAGTCATCCAAGGTATTTGTAGAGAGGTATCAAAAAGAAAATATTCCTTCCATCGTTCCACCCATCGTTCCATCAGCTCTCCAACCAACCTAGCAGACTAGTATCCTACAAACTACAAATGAACAATATCAACAAAAAATACATGGCTATTATAAACACTTATTAAACCTATATGAAAAAAATGATCATGACGCCAAACCAATATCAATGAAAACGGATGCACAGGTGCCCCTTGATTTCCATGTTGGTCCGTCACACACATCTGTTGCTAATGCCAAAATAAAGTGATTGAAATCAGAGTGGAGTGAACAGATGCCCCATGTTGCTGGGTAGGGAAACAGCAAACCTACTTGTGAAGCCGTTGAGTGCCACTCTGCTAGGGTGATAGAAGCCTCTCCGGCATTGGCATTTGTACTTGTCCAGCACGAATCCATGGCCGACAATGGGAGTGCACTAGGGAGAAATGAAAGAGAGAGAGAGAGAAAGAGAGTGTTTATATAAAAGGTAGGTAAACAGGACGGAGGGAAGAATGAAGGGAATGTGACTCAGCCTTCTGTTTGTGTTTCTTGAAACTCACAAAAAATATGTTATGTGTATTTCTAAAACGAAATGAAATACCGTGGCGCTGTTATGTGAAATTCTGTCAAAAACTGAAATATTTGGGTTGGAAAATGTCTATGACAGAACAGTCACTAGCACTTCCTTTTTTCTCCTATTCTGGTCTGTGCTCTTTGAAAAGGCACTCTCATTTCCTATTCAAATCTCAACTCAATTCAAATTCAACTCACTGACAGGCCTTTACTAACAGCCTTGGAATTCTGTTATTTAAACAGAACCTAGTTTACCTTTCTCAGCTATACGTTAACGTTTACATCGTGTAGTCATATAATCACAGACAAACACTACAGCGGATGTAGACATGAATCATGACAACACAGACCGAGTATCAGGTAAAACTTAAAGCATCCTGACAAAATGTCTCTACAACACTGTCACATGACACATATAATCTGACGTAGAATTCCATACAGTTTGATCAACAGGCAGAATGTTTTTATTTGAAAATTGTTAAAGCCACACTATCAGATTTATTTATAATCAAAGAGGGGGCCCACTACCAAAAACAATATAAACCATATTCCAGGATGCCATTTTCCCATGCAAATTTTAGCTCATGATTTCTGCATTGCACATAATATCATTATTCAGACACTGGGAGTGATTTGTCTAAATGAACTCGTCTCAACCCTGTTATAAAAATGTTCTTCTGATGAGCAGATCCCGAGCAAATGCCCCAATAATAATCCTGAGAACAACGTCAGGGGAAATAACACACCCTTGCCAAGTTGCAGGAATCTAATGAATATCTAAATTAAGAAATAAGACCTGTTTGCAAAATTTAAATTCGCTGCACTTGTTACTTTGAAGCATAAACTGTAGTGGTGAATTTAGATCAATTGTCTTTGAACTAGAGAACTAGCTCCCCTTCACCACGAATCTTATTCTACTGGGAGGAGATGGTTTTGTAGTGTGAAAACCTGGCAAAAACAAACAGATAAAACATTGCTGTTGAGCTCTACTGTGTTTAGGGGGAAATACAATTAATGTTTTATCACCAATGTTTTGAGGAAGCAGTGTGAGACATCCCTTGGCAACTTGATCAACACTTTGTTTCTTACATTCCAGTGGTGTGTCCTGAACATTGTGAATGGGGTGGCCAAGGTGGGGCACAGATCCAGTTAAGGACGGCCATAACATTTTTTACCTTAATCAATGCAAGGTGGATTTTTTCTATATAATTACGATGGTTCAACGCATTAAATGCTTCAGCTAAGGTTTGGTACATTTAGCTGTTCAATTAAATCATAAATCAATTCGAAAAGTCTTGTTATAGTGTTTGCATTCAAGGTCAGGATTCTATATAACGGTATTAGCATACAGCAGTAAATTACCTTGAAAGTGCCACCCAGAGTGAGAATTATCCCGTGAAATGCGGGGGGTCTAAAATGTATTAAGGGGACCTCCTATTCTATGGACTTTATAGAAAAGATTTGTAATGTAATTTAACTGTAAAAATGTATTACCTTTTAATGTGTCATGAACACAACCAGTCATGTTCATCTGATTGTCAAACAAATCACTTCAAAAAGAAGGTTAAGTAGGTTACCTGCGCACGTTCGTCTACTCCAAAATAGACTACTCATTCAAGGGTTTTTCTTTCTTTTTTTCTTTTTTTATACATTGTAGAATAATAATGAAGACAACAAAACTATGAAATAACACAAATGGAATCATGTAGTAACCAAAAAAGTGTTAAACAAATCAAAATATATTTTATATTTGAGATTCTTCTAATAGCCAACCTTTGCCTTGATGACAGCTTTGCACACTCTTGGCATTCTCTCAACCAGCTTCATGAAGTAGTCACCTGGAATGCATTTCAATTAACAGATGTGCCTTCTTAACTTAATTGTGGAATTTATTTCCTTCTTAATGCGTTTTGAGCCAATCAGTTGGGTTGTGACAAGGTAGGGGTGGTATTCAGAAGATAGCCCTATTTGGTAAAAAACCAAGTCCATATTATGGCAAGAACAGCTCAAATAAGCAAAGAGAAATGACAGTCCATCATTACTTTAAGTCATGAAGGTCAGTCAATTTAAAGAACTTTGAAAGTTTCTTCAAGTGCAGTCGCAAAAACCATCAAGCTCTATGATGAAACTGGCTCTCATGAGGACCGCCACAGGAATGGAAGACCCAGAGTTACCTCTGCTGCAGAGGATAAGTTCATTAGAACTACCAGTCTCAGAAATTGCAGCCCAAATAAATGCTTCACAGAGTTCAAGTAACAGACACAACTCACCATCAACTGTTCAGAGGAGACTGTGAATCAGGCCTTCATGGTAGAATTGTTGCAAAGAAACCACTACTAAAGGACACCAATAAGAAGAAGAGACTTGCTTGGGCCAAGAAACACGAGCAATAGACATTAGACCTTTGTGAGACGCGGTGTCTTTGTGAGACGCGGTGTGGGTGAACGGATGATCGCCGCATGTATATTTCCCACCGTGAAGCATGGAGGAAGAGGTGTTATGGTGTGGGGGTGCTTTGCTGGTGACACTGTCTGTGATTTATTTAGAATTCAAGGCATACTTAACCAGCATGGCTACCACAGCATTCTGCAGCGATATGCCATCCCATCTGGTTTGGGCTTAGTGGGACTATCATTTGTTTTTCAACAGGACAATGACCCAACACACCTCCAGGCTGTGTAAGGGCTATTTTACCAAGAAGGAGAGCGATGGAGTGCTGCATCAGATGACCTGGCCGCCACAATCCCCTGACCTCAACCAAATTGAGATGGTTTGGGATGAGTCGGACTGCAGAGTGAAGGAAAAGCAGCCAACAAGTGCTCAGCATATGTGGGAACTCCTTCAAGACTGTTGGAAAAGCATTCCAGGTGAAGCTGGTTGAGAGAATGCTAAGAGTGCATTAGAGTAAAATATATTTTGATTTGTTTAACACTTTTTTGGTAACTATATGATTCCATATGTGTTATTTCATAGTTTTGTCTTCACTATTATTCTACAATGTAGAAAATAGTAAAAATAAAGAAAAACCCTTGAATGAGTGGGTGTTCTAAAACTTTTGACCAGTAGTGTATGTCCAGCATCCGAACGGTGCACTGTGTACCCACCATTTGAATGGAAAGGGACATCTATTACAAACACCATAATTGTAATGACATTCAGCCTACAAAGTGATGTGTATTCATGGATGCCAAGGGAAACCAGGCTTTCCAAAAAATGGGAACAATAAACAAAAGAAACAATTATTTCTCATTCGTGTCTATCCGTGTTTTTAATTTTCCTTTAATTCGGAAGAGGCTAAATCCATTTAACCAGAGAAAGAATCCGAGCGAGGCCCCCCAGAAAGTCTGAGATCTGATAGGTCGTCGCTGAATATATTGATAATTATGACCAAGATGCACACTTAACAGTGGTCAAGTAGGCTGCTGTGGCTATTTGATCATAATGTAGCCCTACCGTCAAAAATAAAATGCATCCCATAACATTTTAACATGGAAATAGCTGTTCTATCATTCAGAGCCTACTGTAGCAGCCAATGTGTGGTGTTCAATGTAGGCCTACATTCAATGAGACTTCAGGAAAAAAACATGCAAGGCTTCACATTAACCTGTTTATCCACTTGTCCTTCAGACAAGGACGTGACTGAAAATGTTATTGTGTTGTTTGATTTAAGAAACCATTTTACAAAATAAAATGCATCATTATTCCCATACCATTATTACAGAGAATCAGACAAATTATGCTACCCTCTGCCTATTGGCTACTTAGCTTATTCAAGCCTGTCTCAAAATACAACACTGCCGCTTTAAAAAAAAATGATGCTATTTACCCGACTCGATTTTCAAAGATGTCTAGAAATGAACACGTTTTGTGCTCTTGTAGAAAGCATTCACTCCCCCATTGCTGACTATAAATGATCTATAACAGGGCTAATAACTCACTAACTAGCAAAGGATATGAACAAATGTAGAAATGTGCACACGTCGCTACATCTGATCTCAAAACAAGCACATCTACTCACGACCGCTGGTGCTGTAAAAACAGTCCAGTTCAAATTGAATGGCACTGATCCATATATGGCAATGGTCTGTTTGCATATAGGCCTACTGCAGCTCTGATTAGTTATTGCACACCGGTCTGTGTAGAGGACAGGCCTGAGTCGTGCCTGTCAATGCAGTAGAATTCTACTCTGATGCGTTCTGCCTACAACAAAATCTCTTGCATAGTTAGTTTTGCAAACTAAGTCTTGCACAGTTCGTTTTGTTTCGGTATGTTGCATTGAAAATGGCTAGTATTGCATTGATTCGATCACAATTCCCACAGTAAAGGGAAACGTTGAGAGTGTTAACTACCGGGGAAAACTCTAGAAAGTTGAGTGAAGTTCAATCTAATGCTTCTCTGCGGGGACTGATATTTATCTTGCACAGCAGTCCCGGGGAGCTGCGCACAGCTTAGAGGGAACATTGGCCATGGATATCCTGGGCCACCCCCCTGGACACGCCACTGTTACATTCTCTGAAAAATATATTTACTGGGATAACTGTAAATGAGGAACGGTTGATTTGAAAAGGGCACTGCTTTGAATAACTGGGCCTGGATTTATTGATCATCTTCCAGGTGTATTGAAAGCTAAGCGAAACTAGTTGATGGCCAAGCCGCTACTATTATTGGAGCAGATGGCAAATAACTGGTCTCCAAAGAGGTTCCGAGAGTCAGACTCCACAAACTTCCAACATCTGCAGAGAGAGCACAAGGACGGCATGTTAATATCCTCTACCGCCCAGCAGGGGAGTGTGGGTAAATAAACCCACCAGCTTTATTATGGATTTACTTTGTGCTTACATTAGCTCTGAAGAAGAAACTCAT